GAGAGGCCACAGCGATGAGAGGCCACAGCGGTGAGAGGCCCGTGTAACGCAAAAAAAAAAAAAAAAAAAGAACGTATGTTAAACATTTTATTGAACTTATGAGGGAACTAGGCAGATGTTATAAGGTGCCAAGAAGCACAAATTCATATGGAGTAAAGGAATGTTGAAATGAATGGAAAATGGAGGTAAAACTGGCTTTCCACAGGGTAGAAGGGAAGACACTTGAACCTTTACCTGAAAGGGCAGAATCTGCTTAGTTACAGACAGGAATTCTGCATTGCTATTAGTTACCTACAGTTAGTTAGAGTTGTGAAATAGCTTCCTGGGTCTGATCAGGTGGAAGGGTGTGTTAACAGATAATGGGTACTTTTCCATCAAAGTACAAATGTTTTTCTCCAGAAGGAAGATTAAAATAACCTTCAGTGATGGTATCAGCTCTGGACTACAGACCTCTGGACTCCTTTGAAGGGAGAAAAATAAACCCCTATTTTCTTAAGTAATAATTGTTGGTTTCTGCTAAACGCACCAGGGAAGTCCCATCACTTTTACTTTTTAATTTACATAGTGGTCCATCAATAAATTGAATGTCCACTCTCAGGGGTTATAAAGCAGCTTGCAGCAGACCAACGTTCCCACTAACAACTAGAAAAGCCAGAAAGAAACGTCAGAATCCATCTCTTTGAAGGCAGTGAAGAGCTGCTGAAGAGACAAGAACTGGAGGAGTTAAGACTCCAGAAAGCAGGGGCTTCCCTGGTGGCGCAGTGGTTAAGAATCTGCCTGCCAATGCAGGTGACACGGGTTCGACCCCTGCTCTGGGAAGATCTCACATGCCGCGGAGCAACAAAGCCCATGCGCCATAGCTACTGAGCCTGCGCTCTAGAGCCCACGAGCCACAACTACTGAACATGCGTGCCACAACTACTGAAGCCCGCGCACCTAGAGCCCATGCTCCTCAACAAGAGAAGCCACCGCAATGAGAAGCCTGCGCACCTCAACAAAGAGTAGCCCCCGCTCGCCACAACTAGAGAAAGCCCGCGTGCAGCAACGAAGACCCAACGCAGCCAAAAATAAATAAATAAAATAAATAAAAAAAAAAAACACCAAAAAGACTCCAGGGAGCAGAGAACCCCAGAGGGTGAGCAAATGTGTGCAGCCACTTTTATTTACCCTGAGGGCATCTGCCAATTCTGGACACAGGCATGAGGCTGAGGATCCAGACTTTGAATCCGCAGAGGGCCACTGCTGGGGACAGGCAAACAGCAGAGCTTTTGGCAGAGACCGAGCGGGGAATTCCAAGGACATGTGCCAGATTCTGGGCAACTCTGTATTTCAAGAAACTGAAATTTAAGTGGAAAGCCTCTGAAAAGCAGAGGAAGCTTTTGATAGACTTGCAAGGTGAAGATTTGCATTTTAGACCTGCTGGGGTGCTGATGGGGTGGGTCGCTGCAGAGCAAACTCCAGGCTCCCAGGTGGAAGTTGGAGACACAGAGGTAGACTGAGCCCTACCAGGATCTCAATGCAGCTGTGACTCAGTACAAGATTGGCTACTCTTCTCATTGGTCTCGTGGAGGAAGGGGTAAACCCTCCCTGGAGGATAATAACATTTGAAGCCTCTACAACTTTTTACAAGCAAAATTTGACATCTAGGGACTTCCCTGGTGGCGCAGTGGTTAAGAATCTGCCTGCCAATGCAGGGGACACGGGTTTGAGCCCTGGTCCAGGAAGATCCCACATGCCGCGGAGCAACTAAACCCATGCGCCACAGCTACTGAGCCTACGCTGTAGAGCCCGCAAGCCACAGCTACTGAGCCCGCATGCCACAGCCACGGAAGCCCGCGTGCCTAGAGCCCATGCTCTGCAACAAGAGAAGCCACCGCAATGAGAAGCCCGTGCACCGCAACGAAGAGTAGCCCCCGCTCGCTGCAACTAGAGAAAGCCCACACACAGGAACGAAGACCCAACACAGTCAAAAATAAATAAAATAAATTTATAAAAAAAAAATTTGGCATCTAATAAAAAATTACTGGATATATGAAAAACCAGAGAGAACAGACAATAGAAACAGATCCACAGTTAATCCAGAACTGAAGTTACCTGACTTTAAAATTACTATGGTTAACATGTTCAAGAAAATAGAGGAAAAGATGGAGAATTTTACTTGAGTATTGAAATCTGGAAAAATAAATCAAATGGAAGCCCTAGAGCTAAAAAGTACATTAAATAAAATTATGAATTCAGTATATTAGACACAACAGAAGACAGGGTTTTAACCACTGGACCGCCAGGGAAGTCCCCCTCTGACTTTATTTTTAATTGTCTTGCATAATATGTGATTTATAAGGAATTAAATTTAAAAAAAAGTATTCTAGCATTCCACAGAAGTTTCTCAAACTGTAAGCCTACAGCAATGATTAGCTACTTTCTTGCCTCCATAGTCACCTTAGTTTTAATTCATCCCTAAATTTAAATCACAAAACAAATGTTGTATATAGGATTCTTTTTAACTTTAAAAATGGATTAAACAGTAGAACACAGATTACCCAGAACTTAATTCAATAGTATTGATACCATGGTTTAATTTACTTCATCATCTCTGCCCTTATTTTATTTTATTTTTCAAAGTTAGTACATTGCCTACGTATGCATCTTTTGGGAGACAATTGAATGGAGTACTTGTGTTAAACATCTGGGGCCAGGATATGTCAGAGATTCAAAACCAGGACACAGAACATGAGGGCTAAATGCTTCTAGAATGATTCTGCCCGAGTCACAGGTGAGCAGGTCAGGTCCTTTCTGATAGTACCTGAGATCTATCCTCCCAGCCCATGTTTCCTGAGCCTCGGAGTAACTCCCATCTGATATCTTCATAACTTCTTTCAGCTTCTATCATTTTCAAGGGTGAATGAAATTATGTATTCCCAATCAGATGGGAACAAACCTCCCTCTCTACCTGCTTGTTTTCTCTGTTCCTTCCACATTCCTCTCATCCAGCCAAGATGCTGAATAAAACGACCATATCTCCTAATATCCGTGAGACTGAAAACTTATCAGACTGAAAGTATGAATCAAATTCCCCCCAAAATTCTAGTTTATAGCCCCTCCTCGGAAATTCCCATTTATAAATAGAAAAATCAAGAATTAAGTTATTTTCTTTTTAAATCCATTTCTCCATCTATAAAAAAATTAGTTTACCACACAACTTAACCCACTGCATGTATATTGTTCTGATCCAAGCAACTATAAATAAAGCTGAACTGCCAAAACTTCCTATTTCTTTTCATTTTTTCTAGCAAGAATTGGTAACATTTAGCATTAAATTTCACTGTCATGCAAAGGATGTTTAAGGATTTTCTGGTTTTACTCCACCGGAAGTAGGATCAATTATGCAGAAGTCCCCTGATTCTCTATCACCACAAAACCCACAGCAACCAAAACACATACACAAATTAAGAAGAATTCTTCATCTCAAGAAATTGCAGTTGAAGCCACTAAATGTAAGAACAACAGAAAAGAGGCAGATTAATAAAATACAGTAAGAACCATAAAAGTTGAATTATGCACTTTCACCTTGATAGATACTGCTATATCGCCCTCTTAAGAGTTGGACCAATTTAACCTTCCACAAGTAAGGTATGAGGGTGCCTATTTCCACATAGCCTTGTTATCATAGCATGGTATCCAATTTTTTTTCAGTCTGAGAGGTAAAAAGTGGTATTTTGGTGTAGTTTTATATTTAGTATCTCATCATGAATGAGATGAGTAATTTTTTGTATGCTTACAAACCATTTATATTTCCTTTTCAGTGAATCATATTTTAGTAGCTTTTGCCCAGTTTTCTATTTTGGTCTTTTTCTTATCAAATTGTGAGAGTTCTTTATGTACTAAAGAGATTTGTCTCTGATGTGAACTGGCAATATTTTCCCCCGTTTTGCCATTTGTCTTTCGCCTTGACTAAGAAGTTGATTTGGCCCAAGGTAAAGAACTTTAATTTCAAAGCTTTCCTAAGTGTTTGTGTACTCACAGGAGGCTACGGAGGTAGGAGACTCTTGTTTGGAAAGACACAGCCACCTGCCTGCTTCCTATGCCGTCAGGCCCGTGGGCAACGCCTGCAGGTCAGCGGAGGAAAAAAGGGAACGGATGTTGCTCGCATGGTGTGTGCAGAGTCCTCCCGGTGGAGGCCAGGAACACTGGCACACAGGGCACCTTTGGCAACACGTTTCTCTGCCCGAAGATGGATTTAGGCGCACATCCCGCCCGAGGCTTCCCCCAGAGAGTGGGAGGGCACCAGGAGGGGGGCGTCGTGTTTCCCTCTCCTGGTGGAGGGTGTCAGAGCGTGTGCAAAGCCTCTTTCAGACCATCCGCGGCTCCTGGTGTGATTCTAGACCCAACACATCCATTTTGGGAAAGGTGATGCAGGGGCTACTCGTGTCCTGGGGATTGTCCCGGTGTAGTGAGAGGACCAGATAGATCCTAGCGCACAGTTTCTCCACGGTGCCCCGGCGGGCAGCGGTACTGTCGTCCCGGGTGAGGTGGGGGCCAGGTAGCTTGCCCAGGTACCCAGGGCTGGAACCGGCTGCCGGGTGCCGGGCCCAAGCTCTCAAGCCCCAGCCCTCGGCAGTGCTAGAGCGGGTCCAAGGAAGGGCCTTGGGATTCGCAATGTAAGGGCCAACAGCCTCACCGGAGTAAACTTTCTGGGGTCTGAGACAGACTCTAGCTTCCATTCCTGGGTCCTGCCAAGGGAGGGTGTAACCATCTCTCAAAGCTCGGCCAGGACCTGTGCTCAACCACCCAGGCTCTGCTCTCGACCTCTGAGCATTTCACACAATGCCCTCAAGATTTTATGCACCCTTGTATTTTTGTTTTTTGTTTTTTGGCCGCGCCACGTGGGATCTTAGTTCCCCGACCAGGGATGGAACCCGCACCCCCTGCACTGGAAGCGCAGAGTCCTAACCCCTGGACCGCCAGGGAAGCCCCTGTGCACCCTGGTCTTATTTCCTCACCTAGACATCCGACATCGGCCGCGCAGAGCTTTACGTGTATTGACCACATCCGACGGCAGAGCACTTCGGCAGCAGGCGGATCTCCACAGATCTCGTCGCCGACAGCATGTGGGGACCAGGTCAGGAGGGCCAGCAACGAGCGGAGAGGCGCGAGGGCAAGGGACTGGGAAGTTCACCGAGGGGAGGCCCCGGCGGGGTGATGGACGGCGGGATGAAAAGCCAGACTTTAGGGGGAACATCAAATCTGGCCCAGCCTGGCGGGGTCGGGGGGGCGGACCCGGCTGCAGAAGGTCCAGACTCTCCCTCGGGGGAGAAAAAGGGACTTCCTGCCAGGTGCTCTGGCCTCTTTCGAGGTTTCTGGAGAAACGAAGCCAGGCTCCATTTCCTCTGAAGTCAGGCAAACCGGGCCGGGCCAGCAGTCCCGCCCTGACAGTTCCTCAACTCTCAGAGGTTAGGCCGGCGGTTTCCCCAGCTCCCGGCTGAGGCCCGCAGCAGCTAGCCGCCCGAGTCTTACCGCCAGCCCCGCCCCCGCCCCCGCCCCCGCCCCCCAGCAAGTCCGGGGTGGGGTCTTCCCCCCAGCTCCTTCTCGCCCTTCCCTCTGCACGCCCACATCTTCCCCCAGCCTCCAGCCATTGTCCTCGCCCCAACCCCGCCCCACCCTTGTCCCGCACTCCCACCACCCCCCGGTCCGTCTTATCCCCGCCCACAGCCTACCCACAACCCCGCCCCCACATTAGCCCCGCCCACAACCCTGCTTCTCCGCCGCGTGGGGGCGGGGCGGCCCGGCGACAGAGGCTGCGGGGGCGGGGCCGGCCTCACCCGGAATGAAAACAAACGGCGGCCGCCGGCGCATCCGGGCATTCGGCGGGTTACGGTTGGCGCGGCGGTGGCGCAGGTGAGTAGACGGCGGCCGAGCGTCCAGTCCCAGACCCGGGTCTCAGTCGCGCCGCCTGGCGCCCCCGGTCCCCGGCGCGACCCCGACGCCAACCCCGTGTGGGTCGGGCGCGACCGCAGCGGCGGGAGGTGGGCGCCCTGCGCGGAGGCTCGGCCGGGACTGGGGTCGGCGGGCCGGGGCTTCAGGTCGCGCCGGCATTTCGCCGCGCCCTAGGTTTGCTCTGGGCTGGGCTGAGGTACTGGGTACTTAAAAAGAAGATTGAATAGTGTCTTTGGAGGGAGAAAGAGAAATATATGTATATATTAAAATTAATTAGCCATACAGAAAGCTTGAGTCATATAACACTGTAATTCCAGATATGCCATTTGGGATTTATTTGCAAAGACAGATTTTCTTTGCTGTTTAATGAGAAAACACTTTATTTTCTCCAGCCTTGACGATCTGATTCTGTATTTCTCAACTCTTTCCCATACTCTTATTTTTTAATACAAGATTCTTGTAATAGTCTGCCTAAGAGAAAAATTAATGTATTTTGAATGAATATATATATATAGATATATATTTGAAAAGCTCTGGGGAAAGGTAGCGTTGATCGATTTATTACAAAAGTGAAAGTGAAATTTTAAAGGAACGTTTTATACCTTTTCGCTTTCAGTTTAGAGCAGTAGTGCTAATGAATTTCTGCTTTTGGTGGGGGGCTGTGTTGCCGAACATTGAATGGCATCCATGAAACGTTCAGTTCTCCAGTTAAAATCGGAAACTGATTTATTAAACCTTTTTCCCTTTTGGTTTAAAATACGTATCCTCGTTTATTCGGTTGTCTGGAAGTGAAGTTTTGTAACTTTCAAGACAGTGGTGTAATCTTTTCTCAAACATAAGTGGTGGTTCATAGACCCTCCTTGCTGTTTATTTGCTGGTTGGGTGGAGTGTGGGCCGCACACTAGGTTTAGGAAATCCCTTGAGACTTTGGTCAGGTAGCTACTTGGATGGCAGAGGGCTGTGCATTCAGCCTTCCAGATAGCTTGGCTCCAGTAAATGGCCCTCTCCCCACAAGTGATACTTTCGTGGGAATTTCTGAACATTTATCAGTAGAGAACTAACTTTGTGTAGTGGTCCTGTAAGTTATTTGTGTTTGGAAAGCTAATGCTCGTAAGTGCTAATATGCTTTTCTGTGTGAGAAGCAGTTTATTAGTGCTTGAAAATCTGGGGTTCTTTTGTAGGTTATCTGGATGCACACAACCCCCTCTTTGATGTGTTTTTTTTCTTTATCCCTTTTCTCCCCGCTATCCTGATTATCCTCTTTCTTAACTCCAAATTGATATAAAATAGATTTGAACTTTCTTTTAAAACACTTGTTTATGGAATACACTTAAGTTCTCAAACTTGATTTAAAAATCGGGTGAATTGAGTTTTGGGGAGTGTGGAATACAGGCCCTGAATAAAAAAAAGAAAGTTACTTATCTAGGTTACATTAACTCTTACATATTTTTTCACTCTCTAGAATGTGTCTTCATCCTTCAAGAGTAATAACTTTTGACTTTTCTTACTGCTTATCTGTTTTGGCTGTACTGCCCCTGTCAGCTGTTTGATTCTCTAGCAGCCTCACTCACCCCTTTGAATTGGTGTGCTAGTGAAGGCTGAGTAGACAGCTCCATTGCTGTGTGTGATTCTTTGGGAGAGGGTAGTTACATGCACAAGACAGAGAAGCAGCAAGGGATTTCGCGATAGAAGGCAGAATCCAATGGTCCAGTGTTGTAGGCAGAAGTCCCAGTGCTAGTTATGGTGCTGCCTAATTTTGCATCCTTGATTGAGTCATTTTACAAACTTGGGCCTTGGTTTTCTCATCTGTAAAATGATGACCCAGCCAGTATTGATTGGAATAGTATATGTAGATTTGCTTTTATGCTTTATCACAAAATAGCATGCATAACTTTCTAGTATTGTAAACACTAAATTTTTAATTAAAAAAATTCAGATATAGAAAATATTTATTATGGATAGTTCATGGTTCAAGCTAGCTTTTCTTCATGTTTACCTGCCAAGGTGATTGGTCTTTTGTGTTGAAATAGCCAACATACAGGAGAATTGATAAGCTCTGCATCGAATTGTTTAAGTTCACTACTTTAGGGATTTATCTTATCTTTTCTCTTAGAGAATAATAGCAGGTTAAGAAATAGAAAAGTGTAATAAACGTTGCTACATATTAGCAACTTTGAAATATGTATTTTTATGCAATATACATAATTGTATATGTAATACATATTTCAGTCTGTATGTAATATATATATCTTTTAGAGAAGCCTGGAGCTAGTTAAAACCTAGTCTAAAAGTAATTTAGATTAAACTGGAGGAGGAGTGGAGGAGACCTCTGCTTACTCTAGAAAACCCGTCAGTGTATTAGGTAAGTTATAAAACACTTTGAAATGTGGCATGGGGTATCAGTGATGTACTGTTTGCTTTCAAGGATGGCGCAAAAGAAATATCTCCAAGCAAAATTGACCCAGTTTTTAAGGGAAGACAGAATTCAACTCTGGAAACCTCCATATACAGATGAAAATAAAAAAGTTGGTTTGGCATTGAAGGTATTTTCCTTTTAAGACATTAATAATTAGTAGTGTTGTAAGTCTCCTTGGTAAGTAAGATTCTGAAGTCACCAGAAATTGCCAGGCACAACCAGGTAAACCTTTGGCATAACCAAAAACATGAGTGAAAAGCAGGTCCCACATTTTATTAGCAGTTGGCAAGCTTATTTTTATTTAAAAAGATTTTATTTATATGAGAATGGTATCTAATTATTTTGGCATATATCATTTCTAATACCTTCACGATGTTACCTAAGTTTATTAATCTGGGTGTTCCTGCTAGCAGGGCAGTTCCAGTGCCAGAAGCTTAGTGTGTGACCTGTTCAGGGTTAGTGTCCTGGTGGGTTCTCAGCCCTCCTTGCTACTGTGGTCTGCTGTAAAACAATGCTTCCCTCCCCCAGCTTTGTTTACACTATGGCTATCTGTTCATTTTTCCAAAATATATTTTCCTAATAATTATGCCTTGGTTTTTTATGGTATCATCAGAAATGGCATCATTTTACATAAGTGAAACTTCTAGAAATTGAAGTTTGCCTGCCTTTTGAAGCTGAGGAACATTAATCATTTTTGATAGAAATCTATTATATTGGAATATCCTAGAATGTACTTCTCTGTTTTCTCAGTCTGAGTATATTGAGATAAACAGTGTAACATTTATCAAGGACTAAGGATTGTCAGGAGGGCATCAAATTGTCCTGTGTTGTGACACAATGACGTGCTTGGGAGGTGATAGTGATAGCTGTGTCAGGGTCTTAGGGTTTTCCTGTCTCTCTTGTTCCTGACAGGACTCACTTTTTAGTTTTTGCAAACCTTCTGATCTTTCTTCTGAATTTGCTTGTTATAATTTCTTGGCTTAGAAACTAGGTGTGGCATAATAAGAAAGCTGCTTTCTGTCCCCAGTTCCTGGCACGGAGCTCCTAAAACCCTTGGAAATTCCCGAGTGGTAAGGGTGACAGGGGCATCTTTTGTTCTAAGAGGCAGCTCTTTGGAGAGAGCTTCAGGGTGGGGCTGCTCGCCTAAAAGACCAGACTTTGATTAGAAGCTTGGAACTTTCAGCCCTACCCTCCAGCCTCTGGTGAGGGCAGAGGGCTGGAGATCAAGCTACTCACCAGCAGCCAGTGATTTTATCAATCGTGCCTACATAATGGAGCCTTCATAAAAACCCTTAAATGATGGATTTGGGGAGCTTCCAGATTGGCAGACACGTCCCTGCGCCAGAGAGTAGCACACTCCAGCTCCACAGGAACAGAAGCTCCTGCTCTCTGAACCCTTCCAGACTTTGCCACATGTACATCTCCATCTAGATGTTCATTTGTACTCTTTATAATAAACTGTAATAACAAGTAGAGCATTTTCCTGAGTTCTGTGGAGTTGTTCTAGCAAATTACCAAGCCTGAAGGGGTAGGGGTTGTAGGGACCCTTGACTTTGTAGCCAAGTCAGACAGAAGTGTGGGTAACCTGGTGCCTGAAATGAAGGCAGACTTGTGGGATTGAGCCCTTAGCCTGTGGAGTCTGCCTCTAACTCCAGATCGTTAATGACAGAATTGAATTGAGTTGTAGGACATCCAGTTGGTGTCAGAATTGGTTGGTGTCAGAAGGGGGAAAAAAACCCTCACTGAGTAATTATGTTTATGTTTTCTAGAGAATTACAGAAAGTTTCGGGGTTTTTAAAATTTATTTATTTATTTTTGGCTGTGTTGGGTCTTAGTTGCTACGCACGGGCTTTCTCTAATTGCAGTGAGCGGGGGCCACTCTTTTTTGTGGTGCACTGGCTTCTCATTGTGGTGGCTTCTCTTGTTGTGGAGCACGGGCTCTAGGTGCGCGGGCCTCAGTAGCTGTGGCCCACGGGCTCTAGAGCGCAGGCTCAGTAGTTGTGACGCACAGGCTTAGTTGCTCCGTGGCATGTGGGATCTTCCCGGACCAGGGCTCAAACCCATGTCCCCTGCATTGGCAGGCAGATTCTTAACCACTGCGCCACCAGGGAAGTCCTCTGATCTGTTTTGTAACTTATGTGTATCATGAACATCTCCCCTATTATAAATATATACTTACA